AACAACTTTGTTGATATATCCAAACTTTTTCATAATGACTTCCCGCTCAGTAAATCACATACTTATCAAAGTGTATCGAGCCAACATGATCATGTCTCTTTAGAAATTCGTGTTTATCTCTAGATTTCTCTGCATAATAAGATTCCGCAGATTGTTCATCGATGATATCCACAAAGGAACTCATTTATCTTATTTTTCTACTTCGATTCTAAGGAAACATTTTGCTGTAAGTTCCACGCTGCTAAGATGATGGTAATAAACAGTCGCTCTCCTCAGTAGTAAATCCACGGTGAGGGTGTACGAGTCCGCGGCTGCCCCTTCCCATTACATTTGTGTGTGTGTGTGTGTTTTTTTTAACCACTTGTTAGACTCCAAAGTTCTTTCAATACCAAGATCGCATTCTACTACTCAACATGAAATATTTAAGATTGAATTGCCTTAAAACATTTATTAGTCTGAATAAAAGTTTCAAATATTCCTGGATCCTAATCTGTTATTGAAGTCTAATGCAGGGGTCGAATGTAACCAACAACTCATTCAATTTTTTTTTCTTTTTGACACCTTCAATAATTTCCTCAACCAAATAATCTAGTACTTGTGGTTGTTATAGGTTGTTTATGTAGTTTTTTGTTTTTTGGAGTAGTTTTGACTGTTCTAATAAATTAACGATCAAAATCACAGTAACAACAGCCTCTTCTAAGAGCTCTCGAGTTCAACAATTGATCCTACTTTGCTGTAGTAGAAGGAGCGAAAAAGACGGAAGTGTTCCTAACGAACAGCGCCACAAATTCGAAGGTCGATATTCTTAGAGTAACCTGATATTTAATGACAACGGTGGCCAAGAGCAGTATGGGAAGACAGACGCGTCGTCCTGAAACTTGCGACTGTAAAGAAAGTTGTGTGACTGTCACACAACAGCATGTCGCGGCTTACTAATGTCACCACAGTTTTTATCTTCAGAGAACACGTGTTTTTAATTTTGAAGAATATATTTAACCTCCTCATCGACTGTTATGCAGATCAAGTCTTAAGTGATTGTATTACGGTTGTTTGGTCCAAATTTAAAAAATTGTGACAGTTACATGTTACAGAAGGAAAACTCCATTATGAGACCTAGAATGCCAGACGCCTGGACCTCAGCAATTGATCCTTCGATCAACGAACGGAAATGCGTATGTATCAAGATTTCTAGATTCTACTCTACATTCTAGGCTGAGATTTACCGATATTCATAATTCATGATCAAATAAAGGTACATTTAGTTGGGAATATGGGAAATTTTATACACAACCAACTTAGACAGAGTGTTCTGATTTGCGTGCAGGTATCCCTCAAAAGTATTTACCACTAATTTGGTTATCAGTCAGTCACCGAAAAAAGATGAATAACATGACCACATAATCGGTTAACTTACCCATTGATCCTTTTCCTTGTTAATAAAGAGCCAAGTTCTGAAGTTAAAAATAAGTGCTGAGGTTTCTCCTGCTCTTGTTTGATTTTTGCTTTATGATTAGCACGCTTTTGATAACGGTTGAAATTACTTGTGAACGTCTCGGCAGAAACTCATAGCCACTCTGAATTTGACACGACTTGGATACGATCCAGTTACATGGGAGTACTGAGGAAAGGCGGATATGAACAAAAGATGTCTCTTGACAGTTCTTTCATCAACTCACTTTTTAATAAACATTGAACTTAAACTTGTATCAATATACCAACAACGAAAACATGAAAATAGATTCTAATTAGAAATCATTCCGAACGTGTAACACTTCAAGGCCCCAGAAATATTAATGATTGTTTTTAGGCACAAGTCTTAAAAAAAAATTTTAAGACCCCTCACTGGGATAAAGGATTGAATTTAGGTAATGGCAAGAGATTATAAACTAAGAGAACGTATCCCACATACATACCTCTGTTTCAATGATAACTCATTTAATTCTAATTTTAGTGTGCGTTCCTGCGGTGCGACTACCTTGAGAACAACATCTGGGTTGAAATTATGAAGTGTGATGTTTGGCGGCCTACGGTTCAGTTGTGTTCATTGTGCTGGCAAGATGACACTTTTTGGTCCCGATGATGAAAACATAAGCTCAGAAAAAGTTTCCTCTGAGCTCTACCATACCCTAGAAAATTGAATATCTTCAAAGGGGTTTGAATGGTCTAACCGGAAGATCTTGCAATGGTTGATTCAGGTAAGTTACCTCACAGATTATCGATTAAGAGGCAATAACGATTTCAAGTGCCACACAATACAGTCTATAATCTCTTGGTAATGGCTAATGAACAAAAATGGGACCTCAGGGCTGATCAGAGTCACACTAAACCAAAGCGAAAAAAGAAAAAAGGGCTAAATTACTAAATTCGATTGATTGCGAGCAAACAACCTTATCACGCAATTATTTTCGACGAATGTCAGTCACAAAATACATGAACTCCTGGCGTAAAGAAAACCAAATTTGCTTTAAACGATCATGACTCAAGGGAATGATCAATAGGGCGCTGAAAATGTCGGGCTGTCGTAAACGTGCAAACTAATACTACGTCAAGAGATTAAGAACACACAGTCATTTCTCACGCAATCTCATTTACTTGGATCGTGCTTCACAACACTGGTTCCAAATAGCTCGTTGTCCTAAAGTCAATTACAGTTAAACGCATCACATAACTCCCTGTTTCACACTTTTCGTGTATCAAACCATATCACATTCTTGTCACATGCTTATTCATTCTTTGGTTCTCCGGTTAAGGAGCTCGACTCTTCATTTTCCTCGCTTGTGCAACTCCTTCTGATTGGGTACCAGCCCTCCTCTCCTCAGACACATTCCTTCCACGCGCACAAGCATCTACCCAGAGGTTCAGCAATTCAATGTCCTCAATGTCTTCAATAAACTCGTCAGTGTAGAGGTCATTGAGCTTTAGACTCATCACGGTGATGCACTTTTCTAACTCTTTTGAAGAAGCATCCTGAGACTTACATTCGGTTCTTTTGCTGCTACCGATGTCATTGTTGTTGTTATCCAGTTCAACCGCATCGTTTTCGTCTTCCCAGTGCACCCTTTTCTTCCTTTTGTTGCCTAGTCTCTTAGGAGATAGTTTCCTGTCTCTTATGCAGTGCAGTGTCTCCTTGATTTTCCTTATCATAAATTTCCCGAGGTTAAATCTTCCCTTGAAGAACTGTAGGGCGGTTTTATGCTCATGAATAAGAATGGCGATGAAGATGTTAAGCCATATCACTTGCAGACACATATTGAAAACGATGAAGAAAAGAGGACCAATGACATCATGACAATCTTGGAGATGTGCAGCCCTATTACCTACTACTACCTGACCGAGAAGAGACTGGAAAGCACTTAAGAGTGAGGAATACTCCTCTAGCTCCCTTCCAAATTGAATGAATCCGAAATGAGCGAAGGCGAATGCAAAGACATAAAATCCTACTGAGCAGTTCACGAGTCCCAGGAAAGACGCCTTCATTACTTGAGACAAACGTTTCACATGACAATTAAATCTAAACAAATACAACAACTTCAAAGTGTTGAAAAACATTAATAAAGCCAAGAATGGTGTCTCCATATCATCGAGTAATACTGCCTTGTCAAAGCTTATAAACTGGAAGACATTTTCATGGAGTTTGGACGATATTAGAGAAAGCTCTATTCCTTTGAAAATATGAGAGACTGCAAAGGAAATGGCTGTCAAGATTTGAGCTAGTTCAATCCAGTTCAGAAATCGGCGGAAGTAGTGTTTCGGTTGTTGAATCATCTCTTTGGTTTCTTTAAAGACGAAGTAAACAATAAACAAAATAAACAATATCTGACAAACAAGATGAGCAGCACTATAACCAGCTCCAGTGTTGTACACGTGAAGGGGGTGAATCACGTGATCAGAAGCCACATAACCAGATGGTGAGAACTCCACTGTGATCCGGACTGCACTAAACAGACTGACGCGAGAGTTGAAAACTGTAAATTCGATCAATACAGCGCTTGTATACTTGTCAAACCAGTTCAACCTGTTAAGATCAGAGATGACTTTTGTGGCAGAATTTCTGTCGTAGCCCAGTTCGGCTAAGTAACCACCCTGACTATAAAGAGGATAAAGTTTTCCCCAAAAAGGAAGGCTTTTGGTTTGTTCTGCTGTAGAATAACGCCAGGGCTTGGGGCAGACCTTGTTCAATGTCTCAGCTGAGATATTCTGTGACAAAAGTGGACGCCATCTTGGCTGATATAACTGCGTTTTATCTTCAGCCTCTAGTGAGTATGGCCCAATGCATGATTTGAATAGACATTTCGTTTCCTTGACGACTTGACATGATTCTGAAAGGTGAAAGTTGGAAGAGTGAAACTTAAAACGGTGCACAGGATTTTTAACCTGCAAAATAAAACTTAGGCTGATAAAGCTACTCAGCCATCTGTTGAAAAAAAGTAAAACTCAGTCAGAACTATGTTCGATAGGTAATTTGGTTTATCAACTACGTTGAGAATGTAAATCGGCAATTGCAAAGAGTTTTTAAAGTCTTACGTTTCGAGCGTTAGCCCTTAGTGAGAATCTTTCGTTCTGGCGAAGGGCTAACGCACGAAACATCAGCTGTAGAAACTCTATACAGTTATACAGTTATCTATACATACAGTCATACAGTTATTTATGCATTATCAACTCAGTAGATAAACCAAATCCTTTTTGTATAACTCCTCCCCCCACCGACACAACACCACACTTTCTTTAGAAAATTACCCCTTTCATTCACTTATGTTTTGCATTTTTTTCACTTTCTCTTTGAATAGAAATAAATTGATCTAAATGGCTTGATCATTGATACTAACGAAATCAAATCTTTGTTCATGTTTCCTGCCTGTCATATCTGTTGAATAGATGTTTGTATTCGCACCTTTTTTCACCCTTAGCTGTCTGAGGCGGGGCATCCCAACAAGAACTGCATCACCGTCTCCAGTGAACATCGTAGAATTTGAAAATGCCAAGTCCTTTACATCCTGATAAATTCCTTGTAATACAACTTCTTCTAGCCACTGCCACATGGTCTCGTGAGACGAGATCTAAGAGGGCAATGCGGTGTAAAAGAAAATCAAAATTTAGATAACTGAAAATTAAAGGAAAAGTAATCAAGAGTACATATCAGTTATTAGAAACTCGCAACCCTTCCCAGTGGTCAGGAAATAAATACTGCTTAATGGCAGGGATACAATTTTTACTGTAATCACCATGTAATTAATAATGGTAATTGAACTGAGTGGAGTGCAATTTGGGCTGAAATCATATGCGTGATTTGAAATCACAAGTATGATTTCAGACCAAAATTGCACGACACGAGGTTCAATTATCACTTTATTACATCCATTTTGAAATCGCCCAAATACAGGACTTGGCAATTAATGCAGTACTGAGCCGGTTTTTAAATAAAAAGGGGAACCAGAAATGCTGTTACATTTTATTTTGTATGCAAAACAGAAAGACTTTGACGTCATTTGTCAAAATCTCAGTCAAGCGTAAAATGATGTGATTTAGAGCAAAAAATGGTGCGATTCGTGAATAAATCGCACCAATTAGAGCCAATCAGATTACAGGGACCACCAGTAATGGATATAATTTTACTAAATCCATTTCAAAATGGATGTAATAAAAAATTTAAGCATGATTCGAACAGCACAATATTGGAATGAAAGGAGCATTTCACATACCTTATTCACCTCTCCAAATGTGTGTTCCAGTGATAATTTCAAAGAATGACTGTACTGACTCCGGCCTCCATAACACATGATCATCAGTATCCAAAGGTATAGGGAATAACAGACAATCGTCTGTATAGCCTTGTACATACGCAGCTCTCGTATTCGATAGAGCCTTGCACGGCGCAATTCTTTCCTGCTCAGGGGCTCTGGTAAGGCAATATTTTACTCGTTTTCATCTTCCTTTTGTCTGACAGCAGAGGTAACTTCATCAAAATGCGCGATTGTCCTGGGAGTTTGGGCAAGTTCACCAGCATCCGAATGATAAAAGAATGACAAAAATAAAGCCACAACGACAATCCTTACAGGTTCGGAAACAAATATGTCCACGAACAAGGACATGAAGATGGAGATGAGCCATTCTTCGCTTGTTTCTTTGCCCCATTGTAAACTATAAAGGATAATAAAAGTTGCTGATGCAGCTGAAGAGATGAAACACAAGAACCAGGCGAGGTAAACAAAGAAATACGGTAGGGTCATACTAAGACCTTTTCCGTACCGAAATTGCTCAGTAACCTTGTGGATGCTGAACCTTCCCGCGATCTTGTATCTTCGTTGACGCTGCTCTGGTGTTTCGGTGGTTGCCACATGACTGAAGATTCCTACTATTAAGAAGTTTACGGGCAAAACTACAACGATGCTCTCCAATGCAATAATAAATTGTCGCAGATTTAAGACCAAAGGTCCCAAACTAAGCGTGCGCTTTTGCTGAACGTGCCCGGGAACAAACTGATAAAACATGGCGCTGGCTAACATTGTGGTAAACAGAAGCGACGTGCAACAAGACAAACGCTGCACGCGAGTGAAGTGTCTACTTGGTGGTCTGGTTGCGACCGAAAACCACAGATGCCCTTCACCGAGTTTTTCAGCCAATCTATTCTGCAAGTATTCCCAGAAATGTTTTCGCCTACCAGAAATCGAATCAGCAGCAAACGTGCGATCTATTAATCCATCGGCCTTCTCAACAGCCAACCACTTGTGACAGATAACAATTTTAAGCTCCTGACTGGACGAATCATAAATCTTGATTGTATTTAGGTACCAAGAGGGGTTTTCACCAGAGTTGTCATGCCACACGCGCACTCTCCGTAAATGGCCAACATTATCCGGAATCGAGAGGGTGAAAGACGTTAAGCTTCCTCTTGCAAATGGAATGAACGAACCACTCTTTAAATGATAAGGCCGACTAGATCCCTGCTGGCCCTCAAGCACTAGATAAACATTAGCACTGGTACCAGAATCAAACCAAATGCCTGTGGATATTTCAATCTCGTATCGACAACACCAGGGCCGTAAAGATCCCAAAAATGGTTTATCGCCGATCTGCAATGAACGACAAAGTAGACGGGAGACAAAATCAACAGAAAACATTCGTAGAAAAACGTCATCATCTTCTCCTTCGGAATCAAACTGATACCTACCTTTAAAGCATCTTTCTGGTCAGCCTTGCGAACCCATAGTATAAATATTAGGTAAATTCCGAACACACAGCTCACTGTTATTATGACAGCAACGTTTCCAGTCTCTGGATTGCGTTGTAATTCAATGAATACTTTGTCAAAATTGAAGAGGTTTGGTGCCACAAACATTTCACCTCCAAATGCAGTCAAATGGTTGCAATGACAGTGAATCATGTCCATGGTTGTTGTTTCAGCCACCTATTAATCATACACGCCATCGTCAATAAGACAGCACTAAATTGCACATATGAAACTACATTTGCTCTTGATTTACTGAAAGTGAACGGTTAGATTACATTAACGCTGATAAACAATACTCACTAACCTTACATCCATCATTTGTCCATTTAGACAGTGCAGTATTCCAGAAGAGACAGGCAGCTGGTAGCACTTGTATGGTGTAATTTTCATTCCCTTTACGGAATTGAGGATCATTGGGGGACTGCCCTGTGCTAGTTTCATCTGCTGCAGGGGACTCTTTATATTGCACACATGCGCGTTTTGAGCGTCCTTTCCCTGAGCACCGCCTCTTCCTAGCAGAACTATTTGACTTGACTTGTATTCCAATGAAGTAAATTCCCGTCTTTTTAATAACCTTGCTGTTTACGAACACCTTGTATGGATCACTTGAGCAGTTCACGTAACTGGATGACAGCTGAGTGCAAGATGAGAAGTTAGGGACGGTGTCGTTAATGTCACTGTTATTATAAGAGGGTCGCTTCCCAAACTTAAAAGTCACAAAAAATTCAGTTTTGTTATTTTCAGGACGAATCTTCAGTATCAGTGCCATCCCTAAATTGGTGACGTTTATCCTGTGAAACACAGTGTTACGAGCACCAACGGAGTATGATTGGGAAGTGCCAATTAAGTTGTGATCATTACGCAGTTTGATAATCATCGGCGTTGTAAGTTCTGACATATTCAGATGATACCCAGAGCTGTTCTTCAGCTCAAGGCTGGAAATTCCACTCGTCAGTCTTCCTGCCGAAGGGTGCCATGAGTAAGATACAAAACNGTTTCATACCTGAACAGGAGTCCTCACTTCAGTAAAGGCTCCGAACATGTCAGCCACTCGTACACGAAAGTCGATTGTAAAGTTGTTTATCTTTATTCCAGCGAGAAGCTTTGTCCTCTTACTGCTTTTCATTCCTTTGTATACAACGTTAGTAAAATCATCATCGGTGAAATAAACGAACGAATACTGTAAGAGACCATCTGGATCCTCCCAGCCACTGCACGCAAAAGTAAAGGTGGTCTCCAGTGTTTTTCCAGACAAAGAAGTAACGTCGCATTTTCCCTCAGTAAGGGAGCCGTAAGTGGCGAACTTGTACTCTGAGTAACCAGGATGTCCTTCGCGCCGTTTAGCAGTCAGCACGAATTTGTAAATCTTATTGGGTTTTAGCACTCCCAGTTTTGTGACGATTCTCGGTGAGGTCAATCGTGTACGGATTTTTTCTTGTAAATCGCTGACCTGAATCCATTTAGACTTATTCGCTGCATCTACCTCGAAGAGAGTCCAATGATAAGAAAGGCCCCTTACGCAGTCAGCCTTCTCACAAAGTAGTTCAAGCGCTAAACGACGAGAAGGATTCACTCTAAAGTCACAGTTATCTTCACACCTAAGACACAAAACAACAAAAACGAATAAAAATACCTTGTAATTTTGAAACCTTTTTCTAAAAGCAATCGTCGCCGTCAATCAACTTTGGAATACGTATGTGCTTTTAACACACTGTCCATGATTTCGGGCCACCATGTTTTTCTGTCTTTGCGGTCAATTCAAGTCTTCATTTGAGTGGGATAAAACACACTCTTCTGCGGGCAGGAAAAGGCATCAGTTACACTCGTTAAATCTAACGCGTTACAATTGCTAGCAAACATTTCCTGTCAAAAAAATGCAGAACACTTTTAAAAGGTTGTGATCATTTTTTGACATTTCTTTTTCACAGGAACAATAGATTTCTTCCACGCAACAACAATTCGAGTTTTATGTACCTGCAGCTCAGACAGTGTCAAAAACGAGTTCCGTCCCTCCCGTGTCTAATTTGTAAATTGCTAATATTATATTAATGTTCATTTTTCTGTAAAAGTATACAAAATCTCAAGGCCACCGTAAATAATCGAAAAATAAGATTTTGTTACTCTCCTGTCTTTTTTGTATTCTATCATCGTACCTTATCTCTACCTCTGGAGGATCACTTGGAGAAATAATCACTTCCTGTGTGAAATACGCTCTTTTCGGATGCTTGTCGACCACAACCGTGATGAAATACGAACTGTTCTCTGTCATATAACCACTTTCGATCCTAACAATGGAATCGTTACCGCCTATTTTCCCCGCTCCAGTTCCGTAACATCCTCCACGGTCGGAACTGGCTTCTGAAGGACTAGGCAGGGCCACAGGCATTTCAAGTAAATCATCAGAAAATTTCTGTGAAGTATCTCTGCATACCCATGTAAATCGAAGACCTAAAACAAAACGTAACGGAGAAGGGTCAAGTCAGTTCGCATTAATCTTCAACCAAATCTCTTGTTCGATGAGATGGGATTGGTCGCAGAGTGCGCAGACGTCTATGGGTCTGTTTGTAGAGTCTTGGTTGCCTGAGACAGCTCTCCCCTAGGTTACTCTCTCTTTCACT